AGAGCAAAACCATGTTGGCTCTGGCACCACCAAGTGGACTGTCCATAGAGGACACTTACCATCTTCTACACCTACCATTTTCCTCAAGCAAATCTTTAGCATGTACCAACTCAGAGCAGAGAGAGATACATCAGGCTTTACCTGTGCCCTCTGAGCACAATTCTTGGCTTCATGGCCTTTGATTCCTAGCAGCAGATATGTTGTGGGCAAAGATGTAGAACCCCCCTGTTAGGGTTCCGAGGACTCTTTTTGGACTGATGCCCCGTGATCTCAGAGCTCTGACTCTTAACTTCTTTCTGCTTACCCAATGGTTCACGTGGATAGAACAGTTCCCGAGACATCCAGAAAAACTCATCACATGGATAAAAAGAACAAAAAATTATGAATCAAAGTCACACCGAAATACTCTAAAAGCAAGTACTAGCAACGTACTGGCTATTGACAACATGTTTGGCCTGGCCCCTGAATAATCCATACTAAGTATGCCAATGTCAGTAGTGACACCAAAATTAACCTGAACGAGCTTGAAGGAATAAAAAATTCATCATAGGAATCAGACCTGACACAACTTGAGGTGAAACTAGATTAGGAGAAGTCAAAACCAGTTGGAAAAAAAAATCTAATTAGGTCTGGTGATGGGGGATGAAATGGAGCTTGGGATGAGTTAGGTACACGAAAGCCCTGGATGGACCTTGAAAGAGACAGGTGCTGGAATGCATAGAATAAGGCTGGCTCTTTGTGCGCACTGCCCCATGAGTTCTCAGGGAGGGCTGGTGGGGCAGGGTGTCCCACTGGTGAGCAGGTTTGGTGTTCAGCATGGACAGCAATATGTGGAGTGGGGAGAGGTCTGCACACTGGAACCACTGGCACCCTTTATTCTCTTCTTTTTTCAGTGCTGGGAATCAAACCCAGGGCCTCATGTGCACCCGTCAAGTGCTCTGACACCTGCCCAGCACCTCTGATCCTCTGTGTCACAGCTTCAATCAATAATGATTTCAGAACAATGCAAGGATTTTATTTTTCCTTCAGACTTTTTGCATTTCTTCTCCCTGAGATCAACTCTAAGCCAACCCAGAACCGTACATACCACAAAGGAAATTCTCAGAAACACATTTCCTGCTTAGCTAGGTTGACAGGTAACAGGACACCACAGTGAGTGCCTATCAAAATGAACAGGAAGACTTGGCTCTGATCCAGGTGGCTTCCAGCTTCTTCTTCTCAGACAAAGCACAAAGCTGGGGCCAGACCATGCATAGCAAGGAGTCCTAGTGCCACACTGCAGAAGTAGTTGCCTGGTGAGGTGGCCCATTCCAAGAGGCCCAACCAAACAGGGCCTCTTGCTGTCACAGGACTAAGCAAATGTCCTTTGTCACAGACAGTAACACTGATGTAATGCAATAATCATATTTTTATGATAAAAATTATCATTATATCACAAATATGATTTGATGGTTCAAGTCTTAATATCACTTTATTGAAAAAAATGATTTTTTAGTTGTGGATGGAAACAATACCTTTTATTTTTATTTGGTGCTGAGGATTGAACACAGTGCCTCATATGTGCTAGGTGATTTGAGTGTTCTTCCACTGAGCCACAACCCCAGCCCTTCATACCACTTTTTTAAGCTCCCTGCTCAAGACAACTATAACTAAATATTAAGTGAAACTACAACCACTAGGCTGTTCGCAAAATGAAAGTGTGGTGCTTGGGAAAAACTTTTCAGCTCTGTATTTTTGTTTCTTTGTTTTCTTTAATTGTTTTTTTAATTGCTAGACTTTTTAAAACTATTCCTTTAAAAAACCTAGACCAGCATGTTCAAATAGAAAATGTTTCTTAAACCACCTAGAATTCATTTCATACTTGTGTGTACTTCATAATAGTAAAATGATGATACATAAATTATTGTCATAACTTTTTTTACCTGAATACATACAGGATAAATGAGTATTTATTAAGAATCAAATTCACTGAGAAGGGAATTATCATGAGATGGTCATGAGGAAGAGCTTGTTGGAAGGTGACAAGTGCCTTCAACTTGATTATGGAGAAGCACTGAGCCTCCAGCCCAGGTGCTGCCCTGACACGGTGGATTCACAATGTAGTGTGGGCCTGTAGTGCAGTGATTGACAGCTTGAGATGTCTTGGTATGATTACTACCAAGATAGGACAAAGAAGGTAAGGATTGAGTAAAATGCATTTACTACTCGAATATGTGTCCTATTTTCCACCTAAGAAACTTGCTAAATCATTCCAGAGTTCATGGTCCCAGAGCAGCTTCTATATATTTGAGGAGGCTGCATCTTGTATCACTGTCATGGACCACCACCAGGGGGCAGATGAGAGCACCCCAGGACCCTGTGTTCAGGAGCCCATCCTCCAGGGCTGGAAAAGGAAGAAGGGGGCACATGGTCAGACCTCCTCAGAGAAGGTGATGTGAGGCCAACGCTGAAGATGCTGCTGCTCCTGCTGCTTCTGGGGCCCAGTATGAGCCTTCTCCTGCCTAGGAGAGTGGGCGTGTGTGTGCATGTGCTGGTGTGAGTGAAGTGTGCCAGGCCTTGTGGAGTGTGTGTGCTTCTAAAAGTGAGAGGGCGCCTCCAGGCTGGCTGAAGTGTACAGGGTGAGGCACCAGTTATGACCCAGGGAGTCTGAGAGGATGCTTGGGGACAGACAGGGATTCTCCAGGGACTGGGGGAAAGGTGATGGCAGAAGCTGAGTGTCCTGGTCCTGTCTGACTTGGTCCTGCTGGCCTCTTCTGTCCCTGTGTTTCAGCAGGCTCTGGGCTTGGTGCTCATGTCTCTCAACATCCAAGCAGGGCCATCTGTGAGAGTGGGACCTCTGTGAAGATCGAGTGTTGCTTTGTGGACTTCCAGGCCTCAACTGCGTTTTGGTACCATCAGTTCCCCAAACAGAGCTTCCAGCTGATGTCAACCTCTAATGTGGGATCTGAGGGCACCTACGAACAAGGCCTTGTCAAGAAAAAGTTTCCCATCAGTCACCCAAACCTCAACTTTGCATCTCTGGAGGTGACCAGCACACATTCTACAGACAGTCAGAGACCTAGACAAGAAGGTTTGCAGCAGCCTGCCCGCCCCCCCCACACACACCCCAGGAGCCCTCTAGGAGGAGCCTGGGGGGAGGGAAAACCACAAAGAGGAGTTGGACAGAGAATCTGAGTGTGGAGGATTGTGAGGGTTTTTTTCTCTAGACCTAGAAAAATGGGAATAAAATTCGTCCAATAAAGTAACCAGCTGACATGGAAAATTCCCCAAGTATTTGAAGACCTGAATCTTTGCTGACTCTGCCATGCTCTCCATATATTCTTCATGTGTCTATGTAAAGTCCCACAGCTAGATCTGTAGACATTTCTGCACATGACTGTACATTTCTCTGTTTCTTGTGGCAAATGGCTCTCGAGGATGGTTCAGCACTATCTTGTCAGCATGCTATACTCTCAAGATCAAGAGAAATCAGAAGGCAACCATTCAGAAAGAGTTAGTCATAAACAAATCCACTGCTGTGGTAAATCCCTTTCTGCAGGTACAGAGCATATCTGAAAAATACCTAGAGAAGGATTTGCTGAACTTCTCTTGAAATAGACTACAATAGTGCAAGAGCCAGAGGAAGTCTGTAAGGAAGACTTCAGATTACATGACTGACAGATCTAGAAAGTTCTGTCAGAAGGTAGAAGATAACTGGAACACTGAAGGCAGGATCTTGAAGAAATCATTTCCTAATAGATGATTTCTCCATTGACAACAAATCTGCATGATCCAATAGAAAATGAGCAAAATGCATTAGCATTCATTTTCTTAGAAGAAGAAAATGTATCCAGTATGTATATGAAGAGATGGGAGAAGGAAACCACTTTGCATCTGTGTTACATATTGATGTGTTTGGAGGGGGAGATGTTTCAAAAGCCCATGCTTGAGTTTTAGATAAATCACCATGGATTGACAAGAAATGCCTGCCTGTTATGAGACACTGATAAAGATTGATTAAGTTCTGTGCATAAAAAAAGAGAGAAAAAATAATACATGAAGGGTTACAGGGGATTTGATGTCTTGAAGATGGAGTATGAGGAGCATTACCTGTGAGAACCAAAGAGTGAACCACAGTGGTTCAGCCACCACCAAGTGGCTTGCCAATAGGGGATGCTTACCATCACCTACACGATGATGATGATAGATAGCCATGTTTACCATTATCTACACATTCCATTTTCCTCAAGCAAATCTTTAGCACATACCAGCTCAGAGATACATCTAACTTTACCTCTGCCCTGTGGAGCATGATTCTTGGCTGTTTGCCCTTAGAATCGTGGAAGCAGATGTGTCCTGGCAATGAGTAGAACCCTGTTAGGGGCTATCAGACCCCAGTACCAGGGCTGTTCATGGGCCACAGTCCTGTGATCCCAGAGCTCTGACTCTATCTTCTGTCTGCTTACCCCACGGTTCTCATGAACGCTAACGTCTCCCAGACATCAAGAAAACTCATCACGTGGATAAAAAGAAGAAAAAATTATGAAACAAAGTCACACTGAAATACTCTAAAACTGAGGACTAGTAACATACTGGCTGTTAACAACATGTTTGACCTGGCCCATGACTAGTCTATACTATATATGACAATGTCAATAATGACACAAAATTAAGTAGCACAGCCTGAAGAACTAAAAATTTTATGTTAGGAATCAGACCTGACACAATTTGGGGAGAAACTAGATTAGGAAAGATCCAAAACTAGCTAGGTAAAAAAAAAAAACTCTAAGTAGGTCTGGTGATGGGGGACAAACTGGAGCCTGGGATAAGTTAGGTACACGAAAGCCCTGGATGGACTGTGCATGAGGCGGGGGCTGGAGTCCATGAGAGGAGGCTGGCTCTTTGTGTGCACTGCCCCATGAGTTCTCAGGGAGGGCTTGTGGGACTGGGTGTCCCGTTGGTAGCGGGGTTGGTGGTCAGCATGGTCAGTAGGACGTGAAGTAGAGAAAGGTCAGCACACACTGGAACCACTGGCACCCTTTATTAACTTATTTTATTCAGTGCTGGGATTCAAACCCAGGGCCTCATGTGTACCCATCAAGTGCTCTAACAGCCAACCCAGCACCTCTGGTCCTCTTTGTCACAGCTTCAGATCAATGATGATTTCTTAATGATGGCAGGTATTTTACTTTCCCTGAATACTTTCATGCATTTCTTCTCCATGTGTTCAACTCTAAGCCAGACCTACACAAATCACAAAGGAAATTCTCAGAAATTCTTTTGCTGCTTAGCTAAGTTGACACAGTAACAAAACACCTAGTGAGTGCCTCTCAAAATAAACAGGAAGGTTTTGCTCTGATGAGGGCAGTTCCAGCCTCTTCTTCCCAGACAAAGCAAAAGCTGGACCCCAGACCATCCATAGCAAGTACTCCTTTGCTCCACCCTGTAGTTATATTGTGAACTGGCCTCATTCCAAGGGGCCCAGCCAACCAGGAAAGGCAAATGCAGTCACAAGACAGTGCAGATGCCCTTAGGCACATATATTAACCCTGATGTAATGCAAAAGTTTTATTTTTAGGATAAAAATCTTTTTCATTATGTCACAAATATAATTAGATGATTCATGTCTTAATTCTACCTTTGTAAGCTCCCCACTCAAGAGAACTTTAACTAAACATTAAGTAAAAGTAAAACCAGTAGGCTGTTCTCCAAATGAAAGTGTAGTGCTATGGGAAAAAAAACTTTCAGCTCTACGTTATTTTGTTTGCTTTTGATTTTTTTAAAAAAAAAATATTTGTTTTTTAGTTTTAAGTGGACACAATATTTTTATTTTACATTTATGTGGTACGAGGATCGAACCCAGTACTTCGTGCCTGCTAGGCATGCGTTCTACCACTGAGCCACAACCCCAGCCCTCTTTTGATTTTTTTTTTTTTTTGGTAATTGCTAAATTTTCTCAAAACTGGTCCATTAAAAGGCCTAGCCCAGTATGTTCAAATAGAAAGCATTCCTTACACCACCAAGAATTCATTTCCATTGGCCAGTACTTAGTGAGATCTACATTATAGTAAAATGATGATAAATTAATTACTGTCATAACTTTCTTTACATGAAGACATACAGGATAAATGAGTATGTTTTTCTTTTTTTGGAATCAAGTCCACTGACATGTGAGGGAAATTGTCATGAAATGATCATGAGGGGAAGAGCACTTTTGAAGATAAGAAGGGCCTTCAACCTGATTATAATGAAGCACCAAGCCTCCCGCCCAGGTGCTGCTCTGGGCACTGTGGATTCACAATGCAGTGTCGGCCTGTAGTCCAGGGATTTACAGCTGTTAGATGTCTTGGTAAGATTACTTCGAAGATAGGATAAAAAAGCTAAGGATTGAGTAAAATGCATAAGGATTGAGTAAAATACATGTCCCCTTTTCCACCTAAGAAACTTGCTTGAATCATCCCAGAGTTCTAGGTCTCAGGGCAGCGACTATATATTTGCTAAGGCTGCATCTTGTATCACTGGCAAGGATCACCACCAGGGGGCAGATGAGAGCACCCCAGGACCCTGTGTTCAGGCGCCCATCCTCCAGGGCTGGGAAGAGGAAGAAGGCGCACATGGTCAGACCTCCCCAGAGAAGGTGGTGTGAGGCCAACGCTGAAGATGCTGCTGCTCCTGCTGCTTCTGGGGCCCAGTATGAGCCTTCTCCTGCCTGGGAGAGTGGGCGTGTGTGTGCCTGTGCTGGTGTGAGTGTGAGTGAAGTGTGCCAGGCATTGTGGAGTGTGTGTGCTTCTAAAAGTGAGAGGGCACTTCCAGGCTGTCTCAAGTGTACAGGGTGAGGCACCAGTTATGACCCAGGGAGTCTGAGAGGATGCTTGGGGACAGAAAGGGATTCTCCAGGGACTGGGGGAAAGGTGATGCAGAGGCTGAGTGTCCTGGGTCCTGTCTGACTTGGTCCTGCTGGCCTCTTCTGTCCCTGTGTTTCAGCAGGCTCTGGGCTTGGTGCTCATGTCTCTCAACATCCAAGTAGGGCCATCTGTAAGAGTGGGGCCTCTGTGAGGATCGAGTGTCGCTTTGTGGACTTCCAGGCCTCAACTGTGTTTTGGTACCGTCAGTTCCCCAAACAGGGCTTTGTCCTGATGGCAACCTCTAATGTGGGATCTGAGGGCACCTACGAACAAGATTTTGACAAGGAAAAGTTTCCCATCAGTCACCCAAACCTCAACTTTGCATCTCTGATGTTGAACAACGCACATTCTGCAGACAGCAGCTTCTACTTCTGTGCTGGTGACACAGTGCTGGGTGGAAGTCAGAGACCTAGGCAAGAAGGGTTGCAACAGCCTGCCCTCCCCCACAGACCCCAGGGGCCTTGTGGGAGGGAACACCACAGCTTCTGTGAATTAGAACTCTGGGAGCATGTGTGTCTAGACCTAGAAAAATGGGAATCAAGTGACCAACTGACATGGAAAGTTCCCCCATATCTCAAGACCTAGGTGTTTGCCTGACTCTGCCAAGTTCCTATGTTTTTAATAAATATACATGTAATCCCACAGCTAGAGCTGTAGACACGTCTACACATTGCTGTGCATTTCTATTATGTTTCCTTTGGTAACTGGCTCTCTATGACTGTTCAGCACCATCATGTCACCATGCTGTTCCCTCAAGATGGAGAGAAATTATGCAGCAACCAGGCAGAGAGTGTTACTTATCGAAAGATCCAACACACTGTAAGTATCCAGGTTGTTATTGATGATGGAGGAGGAGAGACAGAGAGCACAGGAGGCGAACTCCCTGTGCATCTACAGAGCATATCTGAAACACCTAGAGAAGGTTTTGCTGAGCTGCTCTCAAGATACAGTTCAATAGCGAAGGTAGAAGGAAGACTTCAGGTTACATGGCTGAAAGATCTAGAATGTTCTGTCAGAAGGTAGAAGATGATAAGTGGAACACTGAAGGTAGAAATCATTTCCTAAGGAAAAGCAAAAAATGATACTGACCAACAAATCTGCATGATCTGATAAAAAAATAAGCAACATACATTAGCACCATTTATTAGAAGAAAATATGTCCAGTAAATATGTGAAGAGAGGGGACAAGGAAATGACTGAGCATCTGTCTTTCATATTGTTGTGTGGGGAAGGGGAGATATTTCCAAAGCCCATAGTTTAGTTTTAAGTAAATAACCATGCATTGACAAGCAAGGCCTGCATGTTTTGAATCACAGGTTAAGACTGATTAAGTTCTGAGCATAAAAAAGAGAGAAAGAAATGAATGTGTAAAAGTGTTACAGAGGATTAGAGGTCTTGACAATGGAGGATGAAGAGCATTACCTACTGAGAACCAAGGTGGCTCAGCCACCACCCAGTGGATTTCCCTCAGGGGACGCTCTGCCAACCAACAGACTCACGCCTTGTAAATGCCTTTACCACAGAGAGCAGGGGCTCAGCATGAAAATGAAAGCATGCAGATAAGATCTTGCCCTTGACCACAGTGGGACTTAAAATAGGATGGGAACTGCTACAGAATAAAAGCACATACAGACGTTGATGAGTTGTTTTCACCCAACAACAATTCACAGATTGGGCAGTGCTAGATCCCAGGTGGTTTGGGGTCCATGGAGACCCGGCGGGCAGCTTTCACAAGGTGTTCTCAGAAGCAAGACAAAGAAAACACATGATTGGTCAACGTGGAAAGACCTTAGGTAGAGTCTAGTTGGCAGTTCCTGACTGGTTGAGCTGACGGTTTGTTTTCCTAGGTGATGACCATTCACGCTGACTTAGGTTTTGGTTTGCTAACCTAAGAACTCAGGAATTCAGATCTGCTAACCATGATAGCTTCCCAATTAATTGTTTTAACAAAGCCAGTTTAGCAATGGATCACATTATACCTACATGATGACAGGGTCCATTTTGCCATTGCTGATTAAATAGGTTTAGTCCCCTCAGACTGTATTCATTGCCATGGAAACCAAGAACCCATAAACTGCTGCCTCCTACTCTGCCAGTGTTTTCAGCCTCAAGAAGAGAGCTAGCAAAATAGCTCTAAATATTCCACCACCCGCTTCAGCACTGGTACCGGGAAGACATGAGCACTCAAGGCTCTGGCCTGAAACGCAGTCAGAAAGAGGTGACATGCCTGCCGCATGCAGTCAGTTATTCCCCCTCTACACTAAGCTGAAGGGTACTGCAGTGTCTGTGGACATGGATGAGTGCCGTGGCCAGCCTGCCTTCTGCACTTCAGCTCAACCTTAGAGACCCAGCCAGCTGCCCACATGCATTACCATAGGAGGATATGGCCATAGTGTCAAATATAACCCATCCAAATTGGTTCTGTCCTCCTCGGAATATAGCCATCAAAATAAAATCCTATAACACTTCTTCCAAATATTTGATGATATAAATGATCAATTCCTTTTAATTATAACTCTTTCTTTCCATATTCTGATTCAATTTTCTATCTCTGGGCTATGTTATATTTAAATCCAAGTTCACCTTTAAGACAGATGCTTGTCTCCCCCTCCCTGCCCCCCAATACACACACACACACACACACACGCACACACACACACACACACACACACTTAAGGGAGGCATCTGGTTCTCCAGAAATGGAGACACCATGCGGAGAATTTCACAGGTTTAGAGGGAGACAAGGTCCCTTAGGACCTCAATGTCTTTTAACACACACCACTATTCTGAGCACGCACTTCTTTCTTGACATCTTATCTTACAGGATTTAATTGGGTTGAAATGCCAGTTGTATGGGACAACTGACATTGCAATTCAATAGCTCAAAAAATAATTTCTGGGGCTGATTCACAGAAGTCTTGACACGTTTGCAATAGTACATACATCGCAGGTGCCTAAAGGTGATAGATTGATTAGTTCCTTGATGATTTCAAACTGCTGCTGCCATTTTCTTCCATTGGAATATGAAAAGCAGTTGGACTACTTTTGACTACCTGTGGTGGAATACTCATGAATATGTGTGCCTTTTATCTGAAAACTACTCTCAGATACTATTTTAAAAATCAGCAGCATTCAGTTTTTGCCTAAGAAAAATGGAATGTGGCTAATTTACTGCAGCTGACTCTTAATCAAATGTTTCCTGACACTGTATATTTAGTGGGTATCCTCCTTTTGAGAAAAAAAATATGGGGAAAAACATTCAGTATTATTCCTAAACACTTTATATCAACTTGAGCTCGAGTAAATTCAGTGGGACCATGGGTAATGAAAGACAATGCAAGGAAAGGAATTTAAGGAAGACGGAAGAGCCAGTGCAAAGTGTTCCAGGCAGGAGGGAAAGAAGAGATTGGAAGGGTTGGAAAGGAGTTAGCAATGATGGGGAAGCAGAGTGAGGGAGGGTGAGGACAGGGTGAGGCTGAGAGATGGAGGGAGACATCGGACCACCATGGCCTTACAAGTCAAGGTAATTGGTAAGGAATTTAACATTAAGTTTAAGGAGTCTCTAAAGCATTACATTTGACCTCTGTCATAATCAGATCTCTGGGTGTGTCCCATCACCTGGGCTGCCATGGGAAGAAATAAGGGACCATGGAGAGGAGCCAGCATTTTGCCTCTACCCTCTTAAGGTTTTTTTCACTAGTCCTGAGAATTAAACTGACATATGACAGATCAACAGGAGAAAGGTAAACAAATTTGATACACATTTTTATATGACATGGGATCCTTCAAAGGAAAAAAGACCCAGATATGTAGTTGGAGTTGAACGTTTATGTACCAAATCAGACCGAGAGTAGTAAACCATGGAACTGTGATAAGGCAGTTGGCTTGGGCCAGGGCAGTTAAGTCAATGGAGAAATGGTGAGGAAGATAGGAATAGTCTAACAAGGGTTGTTTGTGCAGATTTCTCTGAACTTTGACTTCCTGTCCTTGAGAATGAAAAAGATACTTTCCTCTTGCACAGGGAGGGCACAGTGTTTACAAAGTCAACCTAAAGACTTGGAAAGTACTTAGGTATGAGAAGCAACAGATGGGGGTGGAGTCTGAGGTTGAGTATGACTCCTTTAGCAGATGGATTAGGAGGACCAAATGAGGAGGATCGTGGCTTACTCTGAGATTGGGATAAACTCCGAGGCAGAAATCCAGTTAGAAATGTGCAAAAAGCCATTGGCTGTCCTGAACTCAGAAAATGGATGTTCAGGAGAAGTAAACATTGGAGACACTTAGCACAACGTGGGTCTTTCTGTAGGAAAAAAAAAAAAAACCCTTTGGTACCTAAAGCACTCACCTGGAAAGAGTTGTTAGCTGCCAAGGATACTTCAGGCGAGGTGCTTAGGACTGGTTGGAAGCATGATCCCTTGTTGATGGAGCATGCAATGCAAAGAGCAGAGAATTTAGGACAGAGACTCAAGTAGCACAGTCACCTTGAATGGTGGCAGGAAAAGGTTTAGAAGACAAAATGTACCCATAAACTTTCAACCAATGTTAAATGACTCACTGTGCAATAGGGTAACTCATCACTAGTTCCAGTTCTGTGGAGTCATGTCACCATACACACATGATGCTTGTTTCCTGATTTCCTTCAGGCATTTGAGATGACTTGCTTCTATATTGCTACAACCAGGTGTGGAACTGGTACCAACTCATCTCAGGTGGGGCAGAGGCAGCCTGGAACAAGGGGCATCAGATGAGTTTGTCCCTCTCACCACTAGGTGGCAATGTGGGTCTTTCTGTTAAAAAAAAAAAAAAGCAAAAAAACCTTTGGCACTTAGAGCCCAGATACAGTCACTCACCTGGAAAGAGTTGTTAGATACTAAAGATACTTCAGATGAGATGCTTAGGACCAGAAGAATGATTTTCAAAAATACCCTGAGAGGCCAGTTGGTCCCATAAGAAGCAAGATTAATCTTACTTTTTATAATTCCCAGAGCATTTACTGCATATCTGGCACCTATAATCGTTCAATTCATAAATGAGTGAAACATCATTTCTACTCTACAACATACTGCATTTGCAGCCAGTGGGACAAGGAAAAACCGTGTGCATGAGAAGGAAAAGGAAGTAATTCTTATTAGATGATAAAGTTGTTTCCAAAGATCCAGACACTACAAAGAAGCATTGTTGTTATTAATAGCTAAATTTAGTTAAGTTTACTGAATTCCTTAATTTTATTTGTGTTTTTTCCTTGGGGTTTCCTTTGGGCTTTAGCAATTTTTCTACTGGATATTTGTGAATTGAATTAATAAATTATTCCTTCATATGTCTAAAAAATGTATTTAAAAAACCTTGAAATAAGTAGAGATATTCACTGTGATCATGAGCAAATGAATGCAATAGAAAAGATTCCTGTTTCTGTAATATCATTTATGTATTCAAAACAACATTAATCAAAACCATAAGATTTTTTTTCACAAAATTTGACAAAAATAATCTAAAATTATAAGTGAAAAAGAAATTCAAGAATAGCAAGATAATACTGATGAAGTACAAATTGAAGTAATTTGTCCTACCAATTATCAAATGATTTTATAATTTAAGATAATAAAAGTTGCATAAGTAAATAGGCAAGTGGAAAAGAATTGTAAGATGAAAAATAGTCCCATGCATATATAGGAATTTGACATATAACAGAGCTGTCTTGCATATATCTGAAGGGTGATGTAATATACAATGAGTTATCCTGTGACAAATGTTATCCACAAAAGAAAAGATATACTTAAAAGCTTCCTCACCACATAAGCTAAGATAAATTACAAATGGATTAAATGCTTAAGTGCAAAATTCAAAATGTTAAGAGTTTCAGTAAATAACAAAGGAGTATATCTTCATGAACTTGGAAATTCATTGTAAAGAATAAGAAAAAAAAATACACCCAAAAGAAAAGAATGGCACATTCAACTAAATTAAGAAATTGAGCAAAAATCATCATGAAGAGAGTGAAAACAAGCCACAAATTTAAAAGCAATACATTCAGCTGACAAAGGTTTGGTATCCACAACATATAAAGGACAGTTACAGTTACAAATAAATAATAGCTAATCAGCCAAAATGAGTAGCTAATCAGGCAAAAGACAGCTTCCAGAAAATACTGGCAGCCTATAAATACAATAAATATCTTGAACATCCTTGGCAACCAGAGAAGTTAAAAGTGAAACTATATTGTACAGCGAGATAGAATTTTAACCCAACTGACAAGCAAAATTAAAAGAATACTGAATCGTCATTGTAATCCTAGATATAGAGCATTTGAAGTCACTCATGAACTGTTAGTGGGATTATTTACTTGACTTAATCAGTCGGAAAGCATGTTGTCATGTTTTGTAAAGTTGACATGTTAAATAAAACCCACTTTTTATATTCCCAGAAATAGAGAATATCTTGCACCTAGGCATGCAGAGACATGTACAATTACCACAATACTATTTGCAGTAGTACAAACAATTGAGAGGTGGGGAAGTGGCCATTAATTCAAGAATGGATAATGAATTCCAGAAAGTTAATATAATGGAATATTAAATAGTAGTGAAAATGGATTCTCTAGAATTCTATGTCAACGTGCATTAGAATGAAAAACTAATGTCATATGAAACTATGAACAGAATAATTCTCCCTGGACACATTTAAAAGACATACAGTATCAAATAATACAGACTTTACACATTCTAACATAAGTGCTAAGAACTATAAGGAAAAGCAAGTAAGTTACAGCTACCAGGACATGGGCTGGAAAATTCTCAGCTAAAATCCATCTCTTAAGCTGACTGGTTGGAGTAGGAATATATATTGCATATTTATATAGCGTATGTATTGCATATTTGTTACAAGCATTTAATTCTTTGAAGTAGCTGCTATGTGATAAATGTGGCGGAAACTTTGATTGCTGTGACAGAGTAGTGACTCATTACCTAGGATGGAACGAAGCAGGAAAGAGGGAAATTGACAAGTTTAAAAAGCAAATAAACCAGGTACAGTGGCACATGCCTATAATTCCAGCTGCTCAGGTGGCTGAGGCAGGAGGATAGTGAGTTCAAAGCCAGCCTCAGCAAAATTGAGGCACTAAGCAACTCAGGAGACCCTGTCTCTCAATAAAATACAAAATAGGGCTGGGGATGTGGCTCAGTGGTCGAGTGCACCTGAGTTCACACCCTGGTATAAAGGGGAAAAAAAAGCAAATAAATAATATGTAAGTTATTTTATTAAAAGAATAGAATAGTCAGTCACAGAAGAAGAAAATAAAAACAGCCTAAAACTCACACTGTCCATATCCACCAGGGAGGTCAAAGCCTGCCCTCCCACATCCTGTGAAATGTCTCATGCCACGTGCTCAGTGGCTTCAAGGCTGAGGAAATCATCACATTGCAAGGAGGTTGCTGAAGGAGGACGAGGAAGCCTGTACTAAAGGTGGCCTCTCACTGCATCTCCCAGAGCCAACCATGTGCCTCAGATGTCTCTGCTGTGTGGCTCTGGTGTTCTGGGGAGCAGGTAAGTCCCTGTTCTGAACGGGGTGGATTCCAGTTTCAGCCCTTTCTCCTGTGGCTGAAATACCAGGTTCCCTTCTGGGCTTTTGTTCTCCAGCTTCTATCTCTTTCCTCCACAGGGACCATGGACACTGAGGTCACCCAGAGCCCAAGACATCTGGTCAAAGGAAAGGATCAAAGAGCAAAGATGGATTGCATCCCTAAAAAAGGACACAGTTATGTTTACTGGTATCATAAGAAGCTGGGAGAAGAGCTCAAGTTTTTGGTTTACTTTCAGAATGAAGACATCATAGAGAAAACAGAAATGAAAGATAAGCAAATTTCAGCCCAGTGCCCCAAGAACTCACCCTGCAGCATAGAGATCCAGTCCACGGAGCTCACTGACTCAGCCCTGTTCTTGTGTGCCAGTAGCCAATCCACAGTGCTGAACGGTGGCTTTTCTTAGAACACAAACCCGTTGTGGACCTGCTCAGGAAGCAAGTGATACGTTCAGTTGTGAAGAACTAACAGAGACTCAGCTTGAGAAAAACACAAGGCCGAAGGAAAAAAGTATAACCGATAACTGGAGGTTTGCACAAAGGGGCGCTTCACAGAGCTGAGGGGGACAGAAGCCCAGGAAAGGCCAGCAAAGCATGAAGGGGGCCCAGGTTCTCCAGTGTGGTTAAGTGACTGCTGCCCACAGCTGTCCTGCCAGCGGAACCTCCCAGAAGCCCTCAGCAACTCCCGCCCTCTGGAAAACTAAATAGTGCGATTTTATAAATCAACTTTATAAAGGTGAAAATCCATGCAATAAAACACACCCCATTTTAAGTGCACCCTTCAATAAATCCGGATAAATTTTTACACCCATGTAACCGCTGTGACAAGATGCAGAGCCTCTTCACCTGCCCCCAAAGCACCCAATGTCTCTTTATTGATGTCTTTGTTAGTTTCTTTCAGCATTGTTTTATGGTGTTTATTAGATAGGTCTTCTACCACATATTTTGTTAATTTTTTAAAAATTTGTTTTAATAAAATAACTATGAATGTATTTTAATACTCATAAGGAATTTATGAGTATTAAATTTTTTTACCAAGATTTCTTGTCAGCATAATTCAAATTAATTTTTACATTTCTCCATTGATATCTCTTCCTCAGCATATTATGTAAAAACATTTTCTCCAGAAATTTGTAATAGCAACCATCTGTGAGCCCATGTGAACCTGGACATAAACAGAATTTGAGGTATAATGCCATGTACTGGTAAACACAGGACCCAGGGCAAGGTCTGAGACTGATTTCAGTTGAAAAGAGTGTTCAAAAAGGAAACATCACTGAAGGCTGTGGCATCTCTTGAGAGGAGGAGGGCTGTTCTCTCATGGTGAAGTTGGCCCACACCCATCAATGGCTCTACCCATCCCTCTGTTCTGGTAGCGCCCCGCAGTGGTGTGCCCCATTGACCCTAGGGGCACAAACCTGCACCCCTAACTTTTTTTTTTAATTTTCTTCTGCTAAGTGTCATTCCCTGCATCCTTGGATTCTTGTTTTATTAATTAATTTTTATTGGTACTTTATAATTATATAACATAGTACATACAGTGGAAGTCACTGGGACACATTCATAGATGAATGCAACCTAATTTGGTCACTTTCATTCCCCAGAACTTCCCCATTCTCTCTCCTCCTTCCCCCTGGTCTCCTTCCTCTATTCTACTGTCTCCCTGCTACAGGAGATCCCTTTCTCCAACCTCCCCCTTTTCTTTTTTTTCCTCTCTAGCCTCCACAGAGGAGGAAAAAACCAAAACCAAACCAAACATACAACCCTTGATCTTTTTTGATTCTGGTTTATTTTGCTTAACATAATGCTCTCAAGTTACATCCATTTTTTCTACAAATGACATAAACTTCACTCTTCTTTATGGCCGAATAAATATCCATTGTGAATATATACCATGTTTTTTCTTGTCTATTCTTCTGTTGATGGACACCTGGGCTGGTTCCATAACTAGGCTACTGTGAGTTGTGGTGCTGTGAATGTGAATGTCCACGTACCACCACACACAACTGAATTCTTAATCTAGCTCTCATGACAGCAGTCCCAGAGGATATACTTTGCCCCTTGTGCCCCAAATCTTTCAACTTTTCCTTCTAGATTTATCTATGTTTTTTCTTAAGATTTTACTACTTTACCAAATACCAAGGATACAAAACTGAATAGAAAACCAATCCTTTCTCTAAGGAGTTAGCAGTCTAATAAAAAAAGCAAATAATTATAATGGAATGGACTAAAACCAAATGTAATATAATATGAAATAGTACTATAATCAGAAGTTCTGTGGGAGCTCAGGGTTGGGCCTGCTTGGTTCTGTCTCATTGGATCAGAAGAAGCTAAAAGAGGGGAGGCTTCATATGAGCTTCACCAGAGGCATCTGGCTGTGAGTAGGACATGCTGGGCAGAGAACGATTTTTGCAAAATCAGATTAAAGAAAGCAACACTTTGGAGAACAATTAGGAAAGAGGAGACAACTGATTCACTGATATGAGTTAAATAAATACAATGGAACAAATTTGAAAAGGTAGAATGCATTTTTAAACAAGTTGAGATTCTGGTTTCATTGATATGAGTGTGGAAGCCCCTTGTAGCCTGTTGCTCAAAAGAGAAGCTTGAGAGGAATACTGGATTGTCATTAGTAGATAGGGAATCCATGAAATTTTTTAATTGCCTCCATATAACATTGGTCCCTTACAAAAGTCAAACAATACTAGACCTTGCTGAAAGTAGCAATTCCCATCTGGGACAAAAGGTTTCAGGGGTCTTTGAGACAATCAGATGAAAACTGGGAGTAGGATTTTGTCCTTACAGATGGGAGAATAAGATGCAATGGAACTAGAGGAGAGGTTTAGAGTCCACAGAACTCACATATATGGGATTCAAAATGGGGCCCCCAAATTCCAGAACATAGACTTAGATGGCAGAGAGAAAGTGGTTGAAACTATGGACTGTAGTATTCTGATTCTTTGGGAGATTAAAGAAGGCTGAGGGTGGGGAGAAGTCAAGGTAGGAGATGTAAAAACAAGGTAAGGAGAAGAGTGAGAATCCAGGTTGATCTTAACTTTAATACTTGTAAGAAAATGAAAAAAAAAAAAAAGGTAAAGTCAAGAAGCCACAGACGCACCTTGAGCAACAGGTTTGCATGGGTGACATGTTAGTTTACACCAGTGAACTCACCTTTTCGACTGCAGTCTCTTTATGAGGCCTTTAGAAAGATGTGAGACCTGGATACGATTCCAAAAGGCCACCAAAGCAGGCAATGCATGGCCTTGGTAAGTGAGGGTATGTCTGCCCTCTGCCCTCAGTGGCTGGTGGCAGAGGAAGAATGCAGGGGTGCCGCTGCATTGAAAGGTGTGGGGAAGGGAGGGAGCAACACACTGAGTCTTTCCGACCTGGTGTGCTTCAGGGAATGGAGGCTTGCAGCTCTGATAGACCCAAACACCTATGCCCCAGCAACTGACTTAGAACATCAAGGTAAACAGAGATACAAATGAGCACAACCTGGGAATAAAGTGAGAAAACTAAAAAAATGAACTCAAAGTTTTCTCTGGAAAAAACAAGTGTGAAGCCATGTGGGTCGCTATTAAAGGTGATTCAAATAAATGAAAATATACCTTGTCTTTAGAGGTGAATAGAGTCAATTTTTTAAAAAAAATTCCAGATTTAGAAATTAATTTATATATTAAATATATCCAATTAAAATCCCCATAGGTTTTAGATACACCTTGATAAACTGAACTTAAGATTTATATGAAGCTACCAAGGATCAAATTAGCTAAGGAGCTCCGACAAGAAAGAAGCAGGTGGGAGGATCCTATTTAACCAACTTAAGAGTTATTATAAGACCACAATAATATAGGAACAGTGACACACAGACAGACCTGTGGGGAAAACGTGTGTGTGCACACATGCACAGAGGTGGACTGCAGAGGTGGAATCACAGATTCTTCAACAGAAGATAGTGGGGAAATTGAGAATCTGTGCAAAGAAAAATTTAACTGGACACTTATCACAATATATCACAAATCAATTTCAACAAAAAGAATAAATGAACATAATAAAATTACAAAGCTTCTAAAATATACTATAGAAGAACATCTTCATGTTCTCAAATCAGGTGAGGATTTCTTGAAGCTCTTGACCACTAAAGAACAGATTGATTAAAATGGCTATATCAGAATTAACATGTGCAATTTATCAACACTAATCATTGAACAGTGAAAAGATTAGTTATATAGAAAGATGTGAATATATGTCAATCCCAAATCCTTGTCCCTATCTATATTTATGTATTTAAGAAAGGCTAATATATAGAATTTTTAAAAGTATCTATAAATTAGTTTCTACATAAACCAACCAGAAAAAGATAATTCAATAGACAAATGGGTTAAAAAAAAAACAAGTACTTCACAAAAGGGGAAATTTAATTTATCATTAATGGGGAAATATTGCTAAATTTCATAATTAGAGGAAATGCAAATTAAGAATCCAGTGTAATACACACCCACGTGAAGAGCTAAAGTGGAAAAAGAAAGTACACAAAGTTTTGTCAAGTCAAGGCAGCAACAAGAACCCTCTTGAATTTCTGATGGGATATGGATTGGTAGACCATTTCTGGAAAATAATTTGTTATTTTTTAGTGAAGTTCAAGATGTGTGCACCCACTGCCCATCAATTTCACACTTGAGAAATTCTTTCCTAGAGAAAAATCTTACACATAAAAACCAGGACCAAAATTTCAGTGTAATATCTCCAGTAACAGGAAAACACTATAAAGTATCCAAGTGGACACTAACAGAAGAATCAATAAATGATGGTATGTTACTATAAGAATTTTATAGCATTGAAAATTAATGAATTAAAACGAAAATGACTGGATTTTACAAATGTGAATGAAAATTACATTTCAGAAATGTACAGTATTGTCCCATCTTGTAAAGTTTTAAAGCATAAAATAGAATTTGTTTAGTTATACTCCTACGTATTAAAATGTCAGAGACTCAAAGAAAGATAAACTGGAACACTTCATAGAGTTGGAAAATGGGAATGGATCTGGGGAAAGAAACATGAGACTTCAAAGACTCTGGTGACTTTTCTTTTTCCTTTAGCAAGTTGTTTGTTGCAGGGTTCATTCTGCTGGTATCTTATCAGCTTCTTGTCTGCATATTCGATATCATTTTTAACATGGAGAAATCGAATAGTTCAATTTCTTTGAACTATTCAGAGAGTAAGTAGAAATCCACGGAAATACTTAAGCTCTTAAAATTACTTAAGATGGGGACAGGAAAGAGGAAGAAGAAAATAAGAAAAAATATCACACGCAAAAACAAGTGCACCATGTTAAATAGACAATGACAGAAATCAGGGAAGAGAAAAAGAGATCATGTAAAATAAATGTCGTAAAAGAGCAAGCTCAAATGTATCAGAAACAGCTAGAACGTAAAGTATTTCCAAAGCAGTGGCTAGTCTCAGAATCATAAAACAACACTAACAGCAGGAATATGTTATTCTAAAATTTAATTAGATACTAAAAGATGATAGCCAGAAACGATGCGCGACCTTGAGCTAGAAATTGAGCAAATTAGCAGTAAAGGACATTTATGAGAACACTGTGAAACTTTAAATAAAAACTGAGTTAGCGAAGAAGATAAAAATGCAATAACAGGGAAGGATGATTGTTTAATGGAATAAAAGTTTATGAAAGAACACTTAAAAATTTTAACCAAAAATGTGTCCAAATATAACACACACACACACACACACACACACACACACACACAGAAAGAGAAAAAATATCTTCAAAGATTTTCACTAAGGCATTCACAGTGTAATCATTATTCAGCAGTAGTATAGTGTTTTTATTTTGTTATTTTGCTTATTTTCAAACTTTCTGAAATATGTCTATCTGGTTGATGTTAGTAAAAATAGAATTTTGCACGATGCTTCCACATGAATAAAATATAAACCAGTTGTATTTGTTACATCAGGATGAAAGCTTTCCTTCCAATATCGTGAGGGTTTTACCACTCACACCTTGATTATGAGTCACAAAGGGATCATGTGACAAGAAAGTCGCTGATAGGGAATGAAAAAGCCTCATTCTCTCAATACTCCAATGTGACCATGGGCACGAGTGTCCTCTGCTGCCTGGTGCTTTGTCTCCTGGGAGCAGGTGAGTCCTGAGCACAGAAGACAGCTCCTTGTCCTGGATCCAAGCCTCTTTCCTAGCCGGGGTCCCTCCTGGGCTAGTCCATAACTTCTGCCTCCTTCTCTTGCAGGTTCTTTTGTTGCTGAAGTCATCCAGACTCCAGGACATCTGGTCAAAACGAAAGGACAGAAAGCAAAGATGCACTGTGTCCCCACCACAGGACACACCGCCGTTTACTGGTATCAACAGAAGCCCAACAAAGAGCTTCAGTTCTTGATTTACTTTCAGAACCAAGAAGTTCTTGAGCAAATCGAGATGGTCAAGCAGCGATTCACAGTTGAGTACCCCAAAAACTCCCCCTGCAGCTTGGAAATCCAGTCCTCTGAACCAGGAGACTCAGCCCTCTACTTCTGCGCCAGCAGTCCATCCACAGCGCTGAAGCGTTGGTTCCTCTTGGTGCATAAACCCATCACAGCCCGACTCAGGAAGCAGGCGATGCATTAGGTTGGAAGGAAGTAACAGAGATCAGCTGGAGCCAGTATGAACCACAGCGGAGCCTACACAGGCCAAAGGGCCATGGGAAGCCTAGGAGGGATGGGCTGACCATGCTGCAAGAACACCACCTGGGGGAGGGGCTGGGCTGCTGCCCGCTGCTCTTCTTTTTCTTCTTTGCTCTGCTTCATTCTTTTCTCTCCCTACACACTGTCTTTCTCCTTTTGTCCAATCCTCACAGTGAGAATAAGACGGTCACCAAAGATCATAAATCCGGTTGGCACTGTCCCACCCCACTGATAAGGTCAGCCCCACTTTTTCTAAGCCTGGGATTAAAAATCTCAAGAGAAAGAAAGGATTAGTCATGACTCAGCCATGACCTTCTCATAGAACACTCAGCTCAGTCATGGATGTGTGTATTTAAAATCATGCAAATGTTATTTTATTATGGGTGCTATTTTCCTCTTAGATCTTTTCACTCAGCTCTGAGTAAAACATTGCATTTTAGTCTCTTGCTAAATAATGCACTGTACTCCATTCTCACTTCTGTGAGAAAAGATACCTGATTATCCTCCAATTTCCTGCCACCATTGCAAATACTCGAATATATCCCTTCATGACCCTTTGTAGGTTTATATGCCTAGGATCATGATTGTTCAGACATGGACGACTACATGTTTATTTTACTTTATGTGACCAAATTTCTCCAGAAAGTTTTTTTTTTTTAATTACCCTCTACATCTGCAACCCCTCAAACAAGGCCATAAGTTTTCCCCCCATATCCTCGTATCTCCTTAGGACATTATCCAGCAAGCTAAATGGCTGCCAATCCAGCAGTGTGAGTAGATTTAGGGGATCCCAATCTCTCTTGCTTTCTCCCAAAACATCATCAGTATTTATCATTAAGATGCAGGTAAATAATTAAGGTGAAAGAAATAAAAGTAAGAATTTAATGAGAGGGAAATATTATACCACTATTCCTAATAATCAGCAGCAACCTGAAAATGAACAGTGCTATCAATCTAGAAAGCTAGATTATTCTCTTACTTTCTCTTTCCCTTTCTTAATTGCATTTTTCTGATCACTAAGGAGTTTGGCCACTTTTTCATGTGATGTTGATCTTGCATTTCTATTCTCAGAACGGCTTGTTCATTTTTAGACCATTTTTATTGGGAGCTCTATAGTTTACTCAATGATTTTATACTGGGTATTAAATAGTCCCTTTTTATTTTAGACATTGAAAATGTCACCTCCTAATATTGTGCCACCCATAGTCTCAGTCAGATTTCAAAGAGCCGGTGGGCATGGGAGAAGCACATGACCTCTTCCTGAGTGTGTGTATGTTAATTAGCTCCACTATCTGAATCAGACCTCTCTCTGCCATATCCCTAGGCATCCAGAGCAAGCTCCTCCATTATAACTCACATCTTTGAGCACCATGGAAGTTTCCAGTCAGTGCTGCCCCCCAAACTACTTTCACCCCTAAAACAGAACTTCTCATTCAGAAATGCTTGGAGAAAAAAAATATTCCCTTTAGTTGTGGTTTTGGTCAACTTGATTCAAATTAAACTTTTTCCTTTTCTTTTTTCTAATTGGATTTTGCTGCCTGGTACAGGAAGGGGACAGTAACACTTTAC